GGTACTGAGCAGAGGTAACAAGCCACATGGAAAAAGGTAGATTAATATAAGCAGGTTAATTTAACTTTTAGGAGCTAGTTGGGAACAAGTCTAAGCTAAGACCAAGCTTTCACAATAAGAAGTCTCTGTGTCATTATTTGGGAGTTAGCAGACCAAAGAAAGCCGGCTACACTCCTCCATTGCTGATGGGACTGCAAACTTGTACAGTCACTTTGGAAATCATTGTGCTTTCTCAGAAAATTGGGAACTGATGTACCTCAAGATACAGCTATACATATACACCTGTACCACTCTTGAGCATATATCCATAGGATGCTAAATCATACCACAAGGACACCTGCTCATGGCAGCTTTATTCATAACAGGAAGAGCACAGAAACAACCTATATGTCCCTCAATTGAAGAATGGATAAAGAAAATGTGGTACATTTACACAATGGATACTATTCAATGGTTAAAAATGAGGACTTCATGAAATTTTCTGGTGAATGGATGGAACGGGAAAAAAATTATCCCAAGTGAGGCAACCCAGTCCCAGAAAGACAAACATGGTATGTACTCTCTTATAAGTGGATATTATCCATAAAGCAAACATTCTACAAACCCAGAGAAGCTAAGTAACAAGGTGGCTCAAGGAGAGACCCATGAACCTCACTGTGAAGGGGAAATAGAATAGAGCCCATTGGGAGCGGGGGCAGGTCACGGATAGGATGAGAACAGGCAGGGAAGGATGGAAGGAGACAGTACTGGGAGAGACAACAAGAATCTGGGGGCATCTCTGGGACAAGCTAGAAACCTAATGCAATTGAAACTCCCAGCCATTTATGAGGGTGACACCTAGCAACGGGGGACCAGCCAACTCCTGTAACAGGCAAGGCTTCTAGTGGAAAGATTGAGACACCAATCCAGCCACAAAACTTTCGACCTATTATTTGCACTGGCTACAAGATGTGCTGGGGGTAAAGGTGGCACAGAAATTGTGGGAGTGACCAATCACTGACTGGCCCATACCATACTTGAGAGGCCTATACCATGAGAGGACCAGGATCCAGAGACAGGATAGCCCAGAGACTTAGGATAGAACACAACTTGCCAAACACAACTGGCAAGAAGTAAAAAAGTCAATGAAATTATTCCTAATGAAATATATAATAAATATTATATTAGCATATTATATAATAAGTATATTAAGAATATATATAATCATTAGTAATACTATACTGTTATACTCATAGATTGGTGCCTAGCCCAACGGTCATCAGAGAGGCTTCACCCAGAAACTGATAGACATAGATGCAGAGACCCACAGCCAAACATTACAGGGAGCTCGGGGAATCCCACAGAAGTGGAAGAGGGAGGAAGGACTGTAGGAGCCAGAGGACACTACAAGAAAACTCAAAAGAATCAACTAATCTGGGCTCATAGGGACTCACAGGGACTTAACCAACAACTAGGGAGCCTGAAGGGAATGATCTCAGCCCTCTGCATATGTGTTACAAATGTGTAACTTGGTCTTCTTGTGGAACTTCTAACATTGGGAGCAGGGGCTGTCTCTGATTCCGTTGTCTGTTTTGGGACCCTTTCCTCCTACTGGGCTGCCTTGTCCAGCCTCAACAGTGCCTAGTCTCACTGCAAATTAATATAGCATGGCTGGCTGATACTCATGGGCTGTACAACCTTTTCTTAAGGGAAACAGTGGAAGAGGAGTGTAAATGATGGGGACAGAGGCAGAAGGAGAGGAGAAAGGGGAAACTTTGGCCAGGCTATCAAAACAAAAATAAAGCAAAAAAAAATTTACTTATTTTTTAAAAAATGGTTATGGGTGTTTTGCATGCATGCATGCCTATACAACACTAGCATTTATGCACTACCCTTAAAGGCCAGAAGAGGGTGGAAAATCTCCTAGAACTGGAGTTACAGGTGATTGTTGGCTGTTATGTATGGGATGAGAATTGAACCCAGGTCCTAAGGAAGATCAGCAAGTACTCTTAATCAACTACTGAGTCATTCCTCTATCTCCCATACAAAATTTGTAAATGCTCATTCTCATCATGCAGGTCTTATTTAAGTGACCACATTTTTCGGATTTTATGGGTGTAGTTTCCGTGTCATATGTAGAAGTCACTATCTCACAGAAGATGTCCTGGTCATCTAGTCCTTCTAGATCTAGTGATCTAGGCAATCACTCTGCCTGCACTACAGCAATTTTCTCTGAGCCTTAGGTGGAGGAGTTATACTACAGATGCATTAGTTCAGTCTGTGCATCCCACGTCACTTACTCTCTGTACTGTGGCCAGTTACAGATGACTGTAACAACCTACATCTACTGCAAAAAGCAACTGAGTTGATGAGGGGTGAGTGGTACACTTATTTGTGGATAGAAGGGTAAGGATTTAAAATACAGTAATAAATTATACTGCTTCATGAAAATGGCAGTAATATGTTCTCTCTAGGATCAATAACCTCTTTAGTCACAGATAGCTTAGCTAGGTCTAGGTTCACAGTACCAGGCAGGAATTACCTCCTAATGAGTGAACTTTAAGCTAATTAGACAATTAGCTATTGTCTAGTAGAGCAAGAAATGATTGCAACTATGGTACCTATGAGGCTAGCTTGATGGCTCAGTCACAAAGTTCTATACTGCTGTTGGGGGACCTGCATCCAGCAGCACAGGGCTTTCAGAGAAATCCAGTGTAAACTAGACTTTCCTAGCTGAGGGGGGTTTAGAAAAAGAAACATACTCTCTCTTGATGGCTTCCTTATTTATTCATTCTATGTTCTTTTTCTGTTCTTTCTACTGTATACATTTTTCTACAGCTTATATACTCCAGAAAAGTTTTTCAAGCAATACAGGAATTACAATGAGGCTACACTCTGTTTTTCAAGTGAATGATTACAATGAATACAGAACAAACAGTAAAAAACAGCATGTTTTCCATATTCCTTACATGATGAAACATTCTATGTTCTACAGGTGATTATCCCAAGAACTCACATACATTCATACCCAAGCAATTAATGATAGATTAACCATGTGTGCAAGCAAAGTATTCCTGTCAGGTCTTGGTGTAGGAGGTTCTTCTGTCTTTATGTTGCTTTCATTGGGTAATAAAGAAACTGCTTTGGGCCTGTTCATAGGGTAGAACTTAGGTAGGCAGGGAAAACAGAACTGAAGAAGGGCAGAGTCAGAGAGACATCATGGAACCATCAGAGACAGACACTGGGAATTTTACCCAGTGAGCCACTGCCACGTGGCGATACACAGATTAATAGAAATGGGTTAAATTAAGATGTAAGAATTAGCCAATAAGAAACTAGAGCTAATGGGCCAAGTAGTGATTTAATTAATACAGTTTAATTTAATTAATTTGTGTGGTTATTTCGGGGCTAAGCTAGCTGGGATGAACAAGCAGTCCCTCCTTGCAAAAAGGTCTTTTACTCACAGACTGCAATCTAAATTTACAAAAAAAGGGCCAATAATTTTATTACTTATCTTGAGAGGTAATCTTATAAGGAGTCTTAGAGGAATCACAAATCTAAACTATTATATATGAAAAAGAATCAGTTAGCTCTAACTTAAATCTTCAGGGTATATACCTACTCCTCAGCAGTTTTTTATATCAGAAGATTGAGGGAAAAATGGGTATGAGGAATTAATCATTTCCTTTGGATATTAACCAATCCTAGAAAGAAAGGTCCATCAGCCAATGACAATTAGGATGCTTTGTTCTTGTTCCCTGACCTTAATGAGGTCCATATTTTGTGCCTTTCTAAAACTTTAGATTGTCTTCTGGGTTTTTCACCACAAAACTATTTAACAAAAACATCTTAGTCTAACATTGTTATTTTCAAAGCTTTGTTTCAGCTATGATGCACCCCGAAACCTATGAATATCTCCCAACATTAAGGTTAAAAGAATTATTGGGACTCAATTGCTAGTCATTAACTTGAGCTACAATCCATGTGGCTCCTTAGGTGAGACTCACAGACCCTAGCTTTGAAACACATCCTTGTATTTATTTTTATTCATCAAAACTCTGTATAAGCTCCAATTATTATTATCAAATTAGATAGTACTGCTTAGGGAGAAGTCATCTTCTTGACAATCCACAGGTAAAAATGCCCAATAGAATGGGATGTTTCCAAGAGATAAACACACTATATTACAGCAGTGGAGATCTCCCCACATCCACTCACACCATGCTAGATACCAGAGACAAAGAGCTGCAGCAAACATGGAAAGGCACAGAAGCAGCAAAAGACATGCCAGGGTCTGCAGTTCTGTGGCCCTGCATAAACAAAATGGGCCCACCAAAGAGTTTCCTGATGGTGTGCTGACACCTGGAATTCAATTGCCACCGGCTGCTCCTCTGGCATGGCCAACGACAGTTTCTGCCCCTAGATAAGAGAGGGGAATCAATTTTCTCCAAGGATAGTTATCCAATCCCAAGTGGTCAGCATTAGACATATATACAAACGAGCAACACTAAATGAACTCAGAAGGTTGTGTCATGAATGTGCACACACATACACACACACACACACACAAACACTAAACCACACCACACCAATAATAATAATTAAAGAAGTCATAAATTTGAGAATAAGTGGGGGAAATAGAAGGAGTTGAGGGAGGAGGAGGAATAGACACGATTTAAAATACTCAAATGGAATTCTGAAAGGAAGAAGGGAGAGAGGGAGGGAAGGAAAGAAGAAAGGAAGGAAAAAGAAAGCAATTCACCTTAATTTTAAAAAAAATGCTAAGTTTAGGGGCTAAACTAAAATTATGGGAGAGGTGCTCGTTTTCACCCATATTTAGCTTTTTAAATACTGAAGCTTGCTAATCACTAGTATACCCGAGAGAGAAGACCCAAGTGTAGAAACTGTAGGAACTGAGAAAGGCACACAGCAGGCGTGCAGGCTCCAGCA